AGGGCGAACAAGTTCAATAATTCCGACTTTGTAATGGAAAGACAAAATTAATTAAGACAAAATTTTCTGATTGGTAAAGATGAAAAAGAAATTGACAAAAATTTTTATTATTGTGGATACTTTCAAGATCTCCAAAATCTTTGACATAATGAAAAAAAGGTTAAGGAATATATTGGGGAGTTTTCTAGACTAGTAGCTCGAAATGACATCTCAAAGGGATGACTCTGTAGGGCCGTTAAAAACCCGAAGGGCTTGGCTCTCATCTCCCCGTGGACATAGGTACATTTTCTTTTGTGTTTGTTTTTCTTTTTTGTTTTCGTGGATTGCTTTTCATTTCTACAAAAAGGTTGTTCAATATGTAAATAGGCTTCAACTAACATTTATATATGAGTTATTCCTACATTAACCATGGACCTTAATTGAAGCTTTTTAAATTGTTTTACTAGTGGATACCAAATTCCAATACAAGCACTTTTTCACTCAGAAGGAGGTTTCATGCTAAACAAAATTCAATGAAGAAAAAAAAGATATTTTAAAGGTTAATTGAAGCTTTTTAAATTGTTTTACTAGTAGAGACCAAATTCCAAACAAAATTCAATGAAGAATAAAAGATATTTTAAAGGTTAATTGAAGCTTTTTAAATTGTTTTACTAGTATATACTTCACTCAGAAGGAGGTTTCACGTTAACAAAATTCAATGAAGAAAAAAAGATATTTTAAAAGTTGCTTATTATTGTAATGAAACAGACACTCTGTATATCAAGGCCCAAAGACACCAATGCCCAAAGACACTATGCATATCAATGCCCAAAAAGAAGACAAAGGTGCCCAAAGACTCTGTGCATATCAATGCCCAAAAAAGAAGACAGAGGTGTGCTTGGTTAAGAAGTGGATGAAGTTCAAGAAGAAATGAAGTTCCAGAAATATTCCTACATGGTGATGAAGGGGTTGCTCTTTGTCTAGAGGTCAAGCTTCTCCCAACAGAAGGATAATGATACAAATAAAAATTAAAAAATTAAAAAAAATTATAATTTTTATGGTTATTTTTTAGGCATTGAAGGTGAATGTTGAAGTTTTTTTTTTGGTGTCAGTCTAAAGATTTTCAAGATAAGCTAGGATTATGAGTCTCCACCGCGGTGTTCTATAACTAGAGCACCCTTTACTTTTGAAAATTTGACTACTGTACGCATTGGTCATGCTTGACTTGGCCTGAGTAAATTATGCCTTCCCTGGTCTTTTGAAATGACTCTGTTTTGGTCATGCAGGCTCCATCCATAGGCTTTATGAACCTATACCCGAGTCTCCTAGGCCACCCAAAAGGTGGGAATTCCTTAGCATCTCTCAGTGCTATGGCCGTTTAGTTTTGAGTTTTGGCCGTTGTTGGTTCATGACGTGCGACAAATGTCCCTTGTGCTCTACTTGGGGCTTCCCTTTTTCAGTCACAAGGCTCCTAGATAGGCCTGCTAACATTAGGGACCAGTTGTGCAACTCGACTCGACTTTAGTAGAGTTGCGTTGTTTATTTCCACTTGCCTAGGAGCGAGAACCAGACGATGCATCTCCACTTTAGAAACATGCTCCATCGAAATGAGTAACTATCGCCTCTTCAGGGCTAGCTCCACATGGCATTGACTCATGATGGTCATTATACCAATCGTTTGAGTTGCTTTTGTTTTTGGACTATGTCTAATGGAGCTTTTGAGGCACTGCAGTCTATTGGGTGGGCTGAGGGTAGCAGACCATGTAGCCATAGAGAGGAGATTTCATGTTTAGAGGACATACCTGAGTCCCATGATGACCATATGAGTTTTGGTACACACTGGCTTTATGTCATTGATTTTGGTTCCCTTGTTGAACTCCATAAATATGGGCTTTATGTCATTGATTTTGGTTCCCTTGTTGAACTCCATAAATATGGTTGAGGCACACAGCTGTGGAGATGAACCTTCATTTAGGGTAATCACCTCCCAAAGTCACGGTGTGCTTTGTGCCCTCTAGATTGAACTTTGTGGTATTCGTCGGACTGTTGATATGGGCCTATTCTTTTGATGCTTTGGCCTTAAAAGGACCTTAGGAAAGGCTCAGGCTCTCATTTTGGTTAGCTGATCCCTTGGCCATGCCACCTCATTTTAGAAGTTTCATCAAAAGATGAGAAGCCCTCATGTAGGGCCCTGTCTATGGGATTTTGTTCCATGCCTCACTCTATCTTTGCGGTTAAGTTAGGGCCCTGGTTGGTCACTCAGTTAAGTTAGGGTCCTGGTTGGTCACTCAACCAATGGGAGGATGTGTGGTCAAATGGTTAGATGCCGATGCCGATTTTGATAGAATCGCGAGCCATGATTCGGAGGCATTTGTGCCTGGGTTACTTGGATTTGGAGAGACAAAATTCTTTGGCTTTAGGCCTGCTGCCTCATGCCTAATTCCATTTGATGGATAAAGAGCCATAGTTGGACGTAATTCCATTTGATGGATAGAGAGCCATAGTTTGGCGGGCTTTATGTGCTGATTGACCAGCTTTGGGGCTTTGTGCCTGCATGTTCCTAGCTCTCTTTTTGTGGCAGTATATGCTACCAAGATTCAGATTATGACAAAACCGTTAATGATCATCATGTCTGTCCTCCGATTATGAAAAAACTGTTGATGATCATTAGAGTTTTATGATTTGAAAAAATGGACCGGTGAGATGAACGGAAAACTCGTCCTTCACCAAAGATATGGTCTTAAAAGAATATCAAAAAGAAGAGATAGACTCCAATAAACAACTAAAGGAGACACAAAATGGGAAACCATTATTGTTTTCTTTTATTGAGTATGGCTATGGGTTGGAGAGGAGCTCCAAGTGCTTACAAAAGACATTTGTTTCATTTACATCCAAACTCAGTTAGATGAGCAGGAACGCCCATGATTGATTAGCCCAAAACGTAGAAAAAGTGCTCAAAACAGTTCTGCTGAGCCTTGATGGCCTCAGGCAATGAATGTATAGATGATGAGTTTTCATGGCAATACTTTCCTGAGAACAAAGCTTTGTGCTGCGTTCTTCCATGGGTTTACTTTGTGTTATGCCACATTCCAGTCCAACAAATATCCCCTCTGAGGGTTTACTTCAAATATCCTCTCTGAGGGTTTACTTTGTGTTATGCCACATTCCAGTTCAAAAAGTCTGATCTCCAAATCCCAAAATATCCCCTCTCATTGCTCAGAGTGCTTTTATAGACTCTGAAGAGAGAACCTGTTGAGAAAATATGCTTCTATTAATGATTTGTTGATCATGGGTCGTTCATCTTCCATTTTGATGGTTGGTGATGCAGTGAAAACGATATGGTTGTTAGGACTTCATCCCATTTGAATATGAATGGTTGTTATTCGAATTTGAATTATTTGGGACTTAAAATCAAACTTTAGTTGATTTTGACCATAATTGATGTTTAGTGGGCAAATCTTCTTCTGCCATCTTGATACGGTTTTTATTGTTATCTTCAACTTATTTAAGCTGATATTCGACCCTTATTCGAACATATATAAAATTAGGGTCGTTAGGGAAAAGATAAAGATAAAACTCCAATTAACTTCGGTGAACACTCTACTCCACCAAGAGGTGCTTATCTTTCCAATATGGTGATCTTGATTGATGCTTATCTAAATTTCTCATCAACCATGGCGAAATCTTTAAGCTCACCAATATGAATTTTGTGGCAAGGCATCTTTGTTTCTAGATGTCACAAAATGCACTCAAACACTGACATAAATACCCATGTTATCTTTTTCAAAAGGATTATCAACTGAAAACTTATTGTGCAATTTCATGTCCTTCATTTTTTAAACTTTTTATGGAACTTCCTTTGTACTCATTGATTTGAAATCTATGAATTTTGCTTTTGAGGTAAGCTTACTAAAATTGAGGCTAATTAACAATTTTCATGTGGGCAAAGGTTTATCAAAAATTTCGCCATCTTCTCTACAGAACTGTAGACAGAGAAAGTCATGGAAGACCAAAATACCTTGGACATCCCAAAATTTGAACCACTTGTACCCATCCTGACCCATCTATAAATTGGCCCCCACAAACCCCAAATCGCTCGTCAGAGCTGGAAACATTGAAGAGTAAACTGGCCCCACAATCCCCAAATCGCTCGGCAAAGCTCAAAACATTGAAGAGATCCTCTAAAAAGCAAGGCACGGCAAATTAAGACACAAGACTACTAAGGTGGAGGCAATCTAGAAGCAAAGAGTTATGGTGCCACTCCCATAAAGAAGAAATGGGGATTCCGTCCTTCTTGATAATAATGGCCCATTTTTGAGCTATTTCGTTATAACGGATCAATAATCCCATCCGTAACTTTCCCATGACTTTATTGTAACCTCTATGCCAATTGACTTCATTTTATGTGCTCTATAGAAATCAGATTCATTGTGGTTCTGAGGCAATCCCAACTTTTTAACTACCCTAATTTTTTACAACCGTCTTATTGCCCAGTTATATTCTAGAATTTGTAGACCAACACTTAACCGATGCCAATTTGTATTTGCTGATAAATTATAATGCCAAAATATTTCCTACTCCCTCGTGCAAAAGACATGCTTGGGTTACGATTTAGATCTTAGAAATTTGGGAATGTAATCTCCAGAACTCACAGAATAATATTAGCCAAAAAAAAAAAAATTCAAATAGACTTACAGGAAAAATTAATGCCTGAAGATTACATAAAAACCATCCAAGTCTTTAAATGCTGAATCTAAGTGTCACAAGCACAAAATTCAAAATTTTATTTATAAAATAGTCATCCAGTATTCTTCCTAAAATTTTATTTATAAAATAGCCATCCAGTATTCTTATTTTGAGCGAGGGAGTAGATGCATTGTATGCTCCCACTGAAGTATACTTTACTTTATTCGCTCAACTATAATTTCCCAATTTGCTATCTGCGTTGTACACCACTTGCTAAAAATCCACCTAAACTGCACAAAATTTCCTGAAGTGTTGTTAAATGGTTAGCGGCCGTGACTCAGTGATACCGCCTCAGTTCAGTGCAGGAGAGCGGCCCGCCCCGGATTTTGAATCTTTTATCATTAATTTCGGCTTCTGAGTTCTTATTCTCTCTCTCTATTTCCGGGTCCGAGTTTTTATTTTGTCAACACTCCAATCCTTTTTGACTCTTTTACGTAAGTTCCAAGTCTCTTCTCAGTCTGATCGAACTTGGGTTTATCAAGTCGCGACCCCTTTTACTTTAGACGGGTGGGTTCGCCCTCTGAAACTCAAAAAATCGGAAGCCCTAAGTTTGTTTCTTCGCTCTTCTCTCTCTTTCTTTATACCAGGTTTGGATACGATTCTTTCCTGTATCTCTCCTCTCTCTGATTTGGAAGAGGTCCGCGGGCTCCGCCTTGGTCCGCCATTAATGGCTGCGACCGAGGACGCTAGCGAGATTGAGAAGCTCTACGAGTATGGCGAGCGCCTCAACGAGGCTAAGGATAAATCCAAGGTCTGCTCTCTCTCTTCCTTCCCTTCACATGATTCTGTAATAATATTTTGAACTTTTTACAGTGTTTGAATCTCAGTCTCTCTTCCGTACCCTCGTCCAATCCTGAAGTAACATTTTAACTCTTTTACAGTATCTGAAAATATCTCTCTCTCTCTTCCGTACCTTCACATGTTCCTGTAGTTATACTTTGAACTTTTGACAGCATCTGAAATGTTCTCTCTCTGTGTCTCTGTTGGTCTCTACATGGTCTTCGATATTGTTTTTTTTTTTTTTTTTCTATATATGTGATATTATTGGTGGGTTTGTGGTTTGCAGCATGCAAGCGATTACCAAGGCATAATCGAGGCAGCAAAGGGGAGTCTGAAGGCAAAGCAATTGGCTGCTCAGCTCATCCCAAGGTTCTTCAAGTACTTCCCCGACTTAGCACACGACGCTGCTAATGCTCATTTCGATTTGTGCGAGGAAGAAGAAGAGCTTGGAGTGAGTTTTTGTTTCTCCTCTCTCCTCCCCCATGCCACATCTCTCTGTCCCTCCCTCCCTCTCTCTCTGTTTCACTTCAATTTGAACCCTCCTCCCTCTACCTCTGAATCTCTCAGTTAAATTCTGGGATTTTGGAAGAGCAAATTTCAAAGTTCTTGATTCAGTTCACTATTATGAATTTGGGTTTGTTGTGGCTGGATTACAAAGTGGAAGGTTTTGTGGTATTCTGGCATTGCATATTTTGGCTCAGGCTTCCATGTTCGGTGACCTTGGAATTGAGTTATAAACTGTTTGCTGAGATCATCATGGTGATATATGGAAGCATTATCGGTCTTTCAATTTCAAAGTTTGTTTCATGCCATCTCTAATTGGATGAATGTGGTTTTGTGGTAATTGGATAAGTTTAAGAAACCACGTGGCTTGGTATCCCTTGAAATCATGTGTAAAGTTTGTTTCAAGTATCCCTTGAAATATAGTGGACCATTATCGGTCTTTCAATTTCAAAGTTTGTTTCATGCCACCTCTAATTGGATGAATGTGGTTTTGTGGACCAATATCTCGTGTAATTGGATAAGTTTAAGAAACCACGGGGTTTGGTATCCCTTGAAATCATGTGTAAAGCACTGATTAGTATTCAGTGGAGCCTTTTACTTCAACATAGTGCTGTGAAGGTGGCTCAGTTATAAGCTTTTTCTATAAGGGAAAGCTGTGATATTGGGGCTTTGATCTTATCTACATTCTTTGCTGAAGTTTGAGTTGGGATGGTTGTTTTAGGAAGATGCAGTTTCTAAATCCTTGTAGACTCTGACACTTTCTGTGTTTTGCTTTGTCTCCTTGCTTTCAAAGTGAGGAAGTTCGTGCTGTGACCTACAAATAAAAGGAGCTGTGACATTGTTCGATCTATAGAATGCTTGAGTTTCTCCTTCACTGTTTTCGGGTTTGGTTCATATGCTTGTTCCATGTAGGTGGTCTATAAGGTCTACCTTGCTTTGAGGGAGAATGGAAATTGGATATTGGATTTCCTGTTTTACAAGTGCTTGAGGTGCTCTGTTGATTTGGTCTAAAAGCAGTTAACGTCTGAGATTGGAATTCATTGGATTTCTTGTAGAAGAGTATTCACAGGTTTTGTATTACACAATAAATGCGTCATTGTTGCTTGTGATCTGAGATACTATGGAAGAGCCTCTATTGTTCTCATCATATTTAATGACAGTTCAGGTCAACTGCCAGTCTATTTGGCGCATTGTCATGATATTTTTGTTTGGGGTCAGATAAATTCATTTGGGATTGTATTCATTGAGGAATTTCTTTCCTTCTTTCTTTTTTATTTTCTTGAGCCTGTCCCCCATTGGGTAAAACTCAAATATAATGCTTCAGGAGAGGGAATTATCTAATGTGGAACTGAGAAATTTTACCCAAAACGGTTTCAGCTTTATTTTGATGACATTTAAGGGTTTATACTTATCACTCAGTTCTATCTTTACATCTTTTTGAAGCGGCTTCCTTGAGAAACTCGGGTATATCGTCATAATCCTTTTGAGAATGCATTATTATATAGTCTATACTTCCTTTTGGGTCTATGATTGGATGATATATTTCTCTCCTGCTTTTATCTTTTTTGTTGGGTGTGTGTTACTCTAAAAATAGAGTTCTGTATTCGCACATTTCTTTTTGATATCTTCAACCTATGGTTCTTTCATCCTTCTTTTTGAATTCCCATGTGTTTTTTTGGGTGATAATAGTTAATTCCTATTCTTAATGTTATCCTATATCTAAATGTACATCTCATATATCCTTTGCAACTGTGTGAGTGTTGAACTATGTATGTGATACTGATAAAGATATATTGGGATATTGTGTGGAACAAATTCCATATCATAGCCTATGTTGATTTTTTTTTTTTGTTTTCTTATATCTTATAGCATTTTAAGGCTTCAAATTTTATCTGAGACATATTTTTAATTGGAAAGCACAAGCATGAAATATGTGGTTTGTGTATATTAAATATTCTTTTTGATATATTCATAATATAATTCCTGAGAATCTTTAATTTGGTTTTCTTGGAATGTAATTCATTCACAAGTATACTATATTTGTCCATAATAAACTATATTTCTAGGAACATAATTCATTCACAGGTATGCTTTATGCCCCAGTATACATTCTGGAAATGTTGCCAATGCAGCTGAAAACTGTAAAGCTTTATGCCTGACAGGATTTTGTTCTAACCATGTTGTTTATTCTTTTGGTTTTCATGTTTGTAAACATTGTGACAAAAGTATATAAACAATATTTTACTATGATATTTAGGTAATCTATGCTGATATGACATGGCGGAATGTTATAATTGTTATTCTTAATTTATGATTTATGCAATAATTATTGTCTTATGCGTCCTTAGTTTAGCTTATGTAATGTTTATTGTGCAATATACTTTTTTATTAAGAAAGTGGCAAAAGAAGTTTTAGAAAAACCTAGAGGGAAAAGAAATTAAGATAAGGAAACTTGGTGGTGGAGTGATGAGGTTCAGAAGGCTATTGGCGAGAAACGATCATGTTACAAAGCTTGGCAATGTAATATAAATAATCAAAACTTAATAGAATATAAAATGTTAAAAAAAACACTACGATAATAGTAAGGCTAAACTTAAGGCATATGATAATTTATACAATAAATTGGGGATATGAGAGGGTGAAAAGATGTCTCCAAAACCAACAAAAATGAGTGAGGAAGTGTAGGGATCTAGATCATATTAAATACATTAAGGGTGAGGATTAGAGTGTCTTGGTGAAGGATGACAAGGTCAAAAAGGTGTAGAATTTATTTTGAAAAATTGTTAAATGACGAACACATTCACAGGATTAGAATATCTGAAGTAAAAGAAACTTTAAGAAAGATGATGATACGATTTAGGATCAGATGATATCCTGATAGAGGTTTGGAAGTGCATGGGGGGTATTGGTGTATGTTGACTAACCAAGCTGTTCAACAAGGTGTTGAGGATAAAGAAAGTGCCATACAAATGACGAAAAAGTATTGTGATACCTGTTTCCATGAACAAAGGAGACCTACAAAATTGTACGGACTATCGATGGATCAAACTTATGAGCCACACTAAGAAGCTGTGGGAACATGCAAATGACTAAGGCATAAAATGAGTGTATCAGAAGCTGTGGGAACATGCAAATGACTAAGGCATAAAATGAGTGTATCAGAAAATTAGTTTAGTATTATGTCATGAAGGGCAACAACTGAGGCCATTTTCCTATTGAGGCCACTGATTGAAAAGTTTAGGGAGAAGGGAAAAGACCTCTACATGGTCTTTATTGATTAAAGGAAAGCATACAATAGGCTACTTAGGAACTTAATTTGGTGGGTGTTGGAAAAGAAAAAGAGTCTCTAGAGGCTATATTAACATGGTGAGGGATATGTATGAGGGAGCGTTAACTAGTGTGAGGACAACTAGTAGAGAGAATAGAGTTTTCAGTGACATAGACCTGCATCAGGGGTCAATGCTGAGGTACCATGGTGTATGTTGTTATGACATAGTTTTGATTGATGGGATTAGAAGTGGCGTTAACGCAAAGTTAAAACTTTGGAGGGATGCTTTAGATTTTAAAGATTTTGAAATTAGTTGGATTAAGGCAAAATATATGGAGTGCATGTTTAGTAATAATAGGAGTAGAAATGAGGAAGTACTTAAGATAGATGGCCAATAAATACCGAAAAGAGATTATTTCAAGGAAGATGTCCACATAGAATTATAGCTAGGTGGGTGAAGTGGAGATGCATCCAGAGTTTTATGTGATTGCCACATACCAATGAAACTGAAGGGGAAGTTTTATAGGACAATTGTAAGACCAACCATGCTTTATGGGATGGAATGTTGGGCGGTTAAGAAACAACATTCCCATAAGATGATTGTAGACGAGTTGAGGATGTTAAGATGGATGAGTGCTAAGACAAGAAATGATAGAATTCAAAATGAATACATTCGAGTAAGTTTGGTGCGGCTTCAATAGAGGATAAGATGAAAGTAGACTTAGGTAGGCTGGCCGTGTGCAATATTATGCCTAATACAACATCGGTTGGTTGTGATTTGGTTCAAGTGGAAGGTTCTAGAAGGGCAAGAGGAAGGCCCAAAAAGGATATGGATAGAAGTAGTGAGAAAAGATATGGTGCCTTCTGGTCTTATTGATGGTATGTCCCTTAATACAACGGAATTGCAAAGCATGATTTCTGTAGCTGATCCCAAATAGTTGGGATAAAGCTCAGATGATGATGATGATAATGATTTCTTATATGTTATGTAGTATAATAATTGTTATTTTGAGGGTTTCTCTTTTCCTCTATTTTTATTAGTTGTCCACACTAGGAAATTGAGATAGCCACCTAGGTAGCATTCTAGAAGGCTAGGGCCCCAATTGGTTGGGACTTTTGACTTACTTGGCTGTCAAGATTGAGCAGAGGTGGTAAATGTTCAGGCCCATATTTATTCTCTTCCATCCCACTTATATGAAAGTGCTCCACTTCTTTAAGCTGGTCTTTGATGCATTTGCTATGGGGCAATGGATCTTCTGATAAGTCATGACCTCAAAATCCGTGCTCTTCTGTTAGCCAATGCCTCTCCCACTAACATACATTTCCTTACCTAGAACCTCCACCTAACAATGTATTTGATTGCATCAAGCTTTGTGGGAATAATGCAGTGCCCCTAAAAGATTTTACCATCCCGTTTGGAAAATTGCATCTGTGGTTCATGAAATTCCTTTCCTTTTTCAAATAGTTATGCGAATGTTTTGAACGAGGGTTTCTCAGATTGTAACTTTTAAACCTAACTTCAGATTTGCTTCATGCCGCTGAGATTGGTTCGTGATGAGTTTTGATCGATAACATGCATTGTTGGTTGATTTGTTGTATATTTGGTTAATACTGTTTATCCATTTACGAACATCAGCCAAACTATAAAAAAATGCATGATTCCTTGATTGTTTCCTTAC